ACAACTTCAATGTACAAAGGCATGCCAGTCTTTGATGCATTTATTTACTTTGTTGTCGTTTTTATTTTGTTTGTATGTTTGTTTTCCATGTCTACCTCCACATGGTTTCCACTTAATGATTGTCTTGTCACTGCTAATGATAAAACGGGTATTTTGCTTCCAAATCTTAGGGGTGAACATTATTTGCCCAGAGAATATCACCGTATCTGCAAATCTTAACAACTTCGCATATGTGTTTTGGAGCCCACCCGTTCTTAGCTTCAGTGGCGTCGACCAAAGTGTCACCGTCATTAGCGATCACGATCAGGGACAACGCTTTGACATTGGGACCACACTGGTTACAAACAGGATTCTAGAAACGGAGTCTCAGTGTCAGTTCTCTGTAACTGTTAAAGGTAAGAATGTTCAGAGTGTAGTGTATGCAGCCAGTTTAATGTATGGACAGCCAGTCTAATGTGTATTTCGGGATAATGATGTAAGGCCTCGGGGCCTGTGCCGTTTGTGATGTGTGTAATATATGCCTCAGAAACGTTTAGCCAGAACTTCTCCATGTCCTCATTTATTGCTCCCAAAATCTCCCAACATACAAACGCAACATTTGCAACGAGGATTTAAGGACTTAGTTCGACATTCGGTGATAAAGAAGGCCTCATAAGGATTGCTGGTGAGTGGTACTTCCACACGGCACGTAGGAACTCACGTTCCAGGCAACTGTACGGCGCCATTTATGTTTCACGCACGTACGTGAGATCGGGTTGTTTACTGTCATGATAAATAATGGAGAATTTTCAGATGATAGTGTTTGAGGGGTTCAACCGTAAGGACGGCAATATAGACACATATTTTGACAAAGATTGAACAGTATTTCATTGCCGTAGATATAAAGCATCGGGAGCACAGTGTATAAGACACTGAAAGACCTTGCCTTTCCACAACAGCCGAAAGAGAAGACTTTTGCAGAATTTTGCAGTCTGTTGAAGGGACAGTGCAAGCCCAAAAAGACTGGCAGTTGGAGAACGGTTCAGATTTCATAATGCCAAGCACTTGCCAGGCCAGTCCATTTGTGACTATGCTGCCCATTTGAAGAAGTTGGTGGTGTACTGTGATTTTCCAGGGAACCAACTTCAGGACAGTTTACGCGATAGATTTAACTGTGGTCTGCAGTTGGAGAGCATTCAAAAGAAACTGTCGACACGCAACTACAGTTTCCGACACTCTGGCAGAGGAGGCGGCTGCAAAGAGTGTACGCCACATACGCACCACAAAAAGTAAACCATTGAACTGAGTGTTTTCCTCACGCCTCAAGGGGGAACCTAAAAGACAGAAGCAAAGACTTTCGCAGAGTAGTAGAAAACCCTGTGACCGTTGTGGATTGAGCAATCAAAATTGCGATAAGTTCAGATACAAGGGGCAACATGCTACAAATACAAGAAGGTGGGACATTTGCAGACATAATGCAGGTCCAGGGCCAGATCAGACTCTGCAACTACGCCAACTGTGAAACACGTCTCCCAACCAGGCACTAAACAAAAAGGGCGTGTTTGTTACGTAAAAGATACCGATCATGATCAAAACACGCTTGCCAGTGGTGTTTCGCATGACAATGGTGACTTTGTGGACTAAGTTTTCTCGGTTTCCTCACATGCGGACGAGCAGCCCCGAACCAAGTCTGAGGACACGCGAGCTGAGATGCACGCGCACAAACGTAGCTCAACCATCAAGGTCCCTGTTTGGATAGCAAACATTACAAATCCAATACAAATGGAACTGGACACCGGTGTTGCTGCAGGAGCCAGGAGGACTATCACAGATTTGGGGGCGCATTCCACTGCAACCGTTAAATCGTGTCCTGCACGCTTACTCTGGACCCCCGTTGAGAATTGTGGGACAATAGATGGATTTCATATTAGCGATGCCTGCGCATATCCGCATCGAAACCGAGGCTCTCTGTGTTGAACTTCGTCGTGCGCCCGCGGAGTCGACACAGTACATGCAGTATCCGGTTCGTAAGTGTGATACCACTTCAATTTAAACCACGCCCATTGCACAAGATACACGGCCATCGCAGGTACGTTAGTTCGCGGTAAATTGCCATTGTTTTTTCTTCTGATTTCATGTGTTGTGTCATTCTCAAGAACTCTTCAACAAAAATTTGCAGCCTAAAAAATCTGAATTTAACATACCTTTGTGTATTTTGTGTCTCAACTCCTTACTTTCAATCGTCTGATTGTATTAAGAATTGAAGCTGACACATACGGCCTCGTTTTCAAACGCAGAAGTGCGCAGATCGACACTGAAAGCGTCGTTTTGGGATCCCTCTATTGCAAGTCAAGGTCCAGTACAGCGAACAGCAGGCAGAACTGCCTTTGATTACCATTGACAGGAACAAACATGCACCTCCCTTGCTGGGCAGAGACTGGTTAACAATCTTAAAGCTGGACTGGGTCAATCTGCTCTCTCAGGGTCAGTATCGAGTCAAGTCTCACCCGATTGCCGAGCTGAAACGAGAGTATGCAGACAGTTTCCAGTCGGCATTTGGCAATGTACGCGGAATGAAGGCAACTCTGTCAAGGACGACGGGATCCCAGTTTTCCAGAAGGCTCGGCCAGTCAATCCACGCTGACCAATACCCCATACCTCCATCAGAAGAAGTATTCAGCAATCTGACTGGAGGTGAGAAATTCTCCAAAATTAACTTGAAATGTGCATACCAGCAGATGCTACTGGACGAGAAATCCCAGGAGTGCATCACCATCAACACTTACAAGGGACAGTATCGTTACATACGCTTGCCATTCGGTATCTCCACAAGTCCTGCAATCTGGTAACCATTCATTGAGCAAGTCCTAGTGCTGGTAACCGGCAAGAACCACGAGGAATATCTCCGGAATGCAAGAAATGTCTTCCAAAGATTAAGGAAGTTTGGCTTACGTGTAAAAACGTGCCACTTCATGCAGGAGAGTGTCATCTACATGGGACGTTGTATCTCTGCCAAAGTGATTCGACCAACTGATGACAAGGCAGACGCCATACGCCAGGCTCCAACTCCGCAGAACGTGACGGAGCTTAGCTCATGGTTGGGTATGGTGAACTTTCAGGCACAATGTCTCCCCAATCTATCGACCATGATCCACCCACTGAATGAAAAGCTGGGAGGTCGGCCCTGGCAGTCGACTGACAGGTGCTCCCTTGCATTTGATGCAGTGAAGGAAGCTGTCACTTCAGATAAGCTCCTCGCACGCTACGACCCATGCAGTCATGCAGATTGTTCACGTTATCCAGTGGCCTGTGCATCGCGTTTTCCCAACGAACATGAGAACATGGTTATGCTCGTCGCAATTGGACAAGGAGGCCTTAGCAATCATGTTTGGTCTGTAACGTTTCCGTACATACCTATACGGGCGGAAATTCACCATACGAACAGATCACAAGCCATTGGAGTGCATTCTTGGTCCCAAGACTGCGATTCCAACTCACAACGCCTGCAATGATGGGCTGTAGTGCTGTCAGCATTCGACTACGACCTGAAATTTATCCAGACCTCACAGGATGAGTTCACCGCTGCGCTTTCACGTTTTCCAATACCAGCTATGGAAGATGATGAAGACGATTTCGCATTATACCAGGACAGACCCAGTCCTGGCACGCGTGTTGGAGTATACCAGGAGGGGTTGGCCGGCTAAAGTGGAGGATGAACGACTTAAGTCTTTCTTCAGTCGTCGACATGAGTTGCCCACGGAATAAGACTGTCTGCTGTGGGGTATGAGAGTTGTGATACCGCACAAGTATCAGAAGGACATCTTGGACAAACTGCGCATTGCTCACCCAGGTATGGTCAGAATGAAAGAGATAGCAAGAAGCTATATCTGGTGGCAAAATATTGATCGACACATTGAACAGACTGTTTGGTTCTGTACGTGCCAACTCTCAACGGTCAAGGCACCTTCCACCGGTTGCACCTTTTAATGCCCTGGGTGTGGCCCAGTTCTTCATGGCACAGAATTCACGTTGACTTCACACAAAACAAATGGCCACGACGTATTGACCTACTGCACCACCAAACGCACGACAGGTCCCACCCCTGCAAGTTTGTTGCTGGGACGTGAACTGCGTACTCGCTTGTTCTTGCTACGCCCAGACACCGAGAGGAGAGTAACCAATATGCAAAGCAGTCAAAAGTTACAGCATGACAAGCAAGCACAGCTTTATGAGTTTTACAAAGGGGAGGAGGTTTTGGTGAAAGACTTTCGCCAGAAGGAGACTTGGTTGACAGCAACGGTTGCTGAGCGAACAGCACCAAAGTCATATGTCGTAATATGTCGTATGCACGTAGACAAATGAGGAGATCAGATCTGTTTCCAAATCATCGTGATACACACCCATTTCTTCCAGAGAAAAAACCAGAACCAGGGTTTGACCCAGGCGTAATCCTTCCCGCAGAGCTTACTCCGGAAAAGGGCACACAATCTTCCCTGTTGGAGAAGCATCAGACATAAGAATCTCCCATGGTCAAAGAAAGTTAGGCGAAATCAGCTTTGACCACAGTCTCAAAGGACTCTCCTAAACCTTTGCGTCGCTCATCAGGTGTCAGCAAACTACCCCAAACACTTATTGAGACTATGTAAAAGACTATTGCTGATTTAAGTCGAAAGCCATACTGTCGTTAATCGTAAAGTTCAATTATTAAGGAACATGCTGTTGTCCTTTTATGTGTTAACAGTTAAGGTTTGAGGTTGTTTTTACCCCCAAAAAGCTATTAGAGGAGTCTTGTTTGAATGGAACAAAAAAGGTATGGACAGTTTTTTTTCACACATTGCAGGCCAGGCATAAGTGCTTCTGTTTAAAGAACTGAACAATTCACTATTCCATCCTACATTTAACAGAAATCCCTCCAATCATATTTTGACTTAGTGCCTAACAATATTATTATACTGAATGCGTGTCAACTTTCTTAGATGACGAGCCTCCGAAGGTATCTGGCTGTCCAGATGACGTCATCATTCCTGTCACTTCATCCTCCCAGCTGGTGACCCACTCATGGATTCCTCCAATCCTTACTGACAACTCCGGTCAAGATGTCAGTGTGACATTCAACTGCTCACCAACCACTTTCAGTGAATGCAACCGAGCCGGTAACGGGTCCTTTGCTGTAGGAGACACCACGGTGAGATACACCGCCAGGGATATGTCTGAGAACAGGAATGTTTGCGCATTCACTGTTACAGGTTTGTGTATTTGTTTATCTGTGCAATTCTTAGTCTTTGTGGAATGTTCTATAGAGTACAAGGATGAAATTGAAAAACCTGTGTGATGGATAGGTGTTGATAGTTCGGTCTTCGGTCAATCAACGTTCGGTTTTCCCCAGTTGTGGATCTGGTCTGCCCTGCTAATATCACCAAGTCTGCAAGTCCCGGTTCAACAACAACCAGCGTAAGCTGGTCAGAACCGGTTGTGACCGGATGGAAGGGAGAAACCAACTTCACCTCAAACTACAGCCCTGGGATGACGTTACCGATAGGAACCTACCGTGTCAGCTATCAGCAGTGGTTTGCAGAAGATGATTTGCCCCTGGAGTGTTTTTTCTTTGTGGTCGTGGAAGGTGAGACCATATATTATGCAAGTTTTAAAAAATGCTTAGCGTCCTTCAACTTGTTTAAGCTGGCTTGTTTGGTTGTTTGGTTCTTTCGTGGTTGTCAGAGGATAACAATGCGTATACATTATTAATAGTTTTAATATGTTTCAACGGTTGCAGGTCAGTGTCCAGCCCACAACACCAGTGATGGATTGCGATGGCCGGCGGCAGTAGCCGGATCAGTGACCAAGTCTGTGAAGCGATGCGCACTGACGACGGCAAATGGTTTGATTAA